TGTACTAAAATAGGCCCATTGTCACCATATTTTTGTGCTGATGGTGTTCTTACATCTTGAAGTCAGTAAAATATGCCATGGCTCCATGAACCAGACTAGACCCTGACTTCTTTGTATTACTCTGAGCTTGCTAGGGAGGCCATAGATAATCACCTTCTTGAGCTACAGCATTATAATTTTCCAAGTGGGAAGTCCATGTGCTTGTTCTTCACTGTGCTTGCTGATTGGGGCGGGGGAAGAATTGGATCTGGGTGCTGTATGATAAGAAATGAAAGTTTCTTCCTTCTCTCTTTTTCTGCTGCATGTTCTTTATTCCTTGGCTTTTGTTTTCAGTAATGGCCCCAAGCAATTAAACATAACAAAAGCAGAGAGCATATTTGATGCCGCCAGTTCTTGGGACCTTAGACTCTGAAATGGTGACTAGAATCTCTTATCTGCTTAGGAAGAAATAGAAGAAGAGGCTGTCAGTTAGAACACAAGGCTACCTCCAGTACCTCTGAGTTAAGAAGGACAAGGCTGCTGTTTCCTCTTCAGGCAGGAACAGAGACAAAGTGAGAGGAAGGTAAGATAAAGACAAAACTTCTGAAACATCCTAGCATGTCAGTGGGTGGTGGGAAATGGAAGAGAGCTGGACACTACCTCAAGAGAAAATTTAAAATTTCAAATGGAAAGTCACAGCAGTCTGCTCCTGGCTTCTGCCAGCATGCAGGCTGAGTGGAAGTTTTTGCTGAACCGGAGTGCACCAAACTTTGCATATACATCCCCAGAAATTTGAGCACTTTGGAGATTCCAGAAGCAAAAATGGGGACTTCATTTCTATCTGTTGTTTTAGGAGAGCAGTGAAGGTTTTGCACATGTATATGCCTACAACTTTCAGCACCATGGAAAGCTCACCAAAACAAAACAAAACAAAAAAACCCACAAAACTTGTGGTCACTTTTCTATCTGCTTCCTTAGGTGAAGGGCTTGATCTATCACCTCTAATTCATGGGCCATCTCACTTCCATGAAAAGACACTCTCTATCCCCAGTAATGCATGGACTTCCATTTCATAAGGCAGTTGTTTCATTTTTTGTTTTTTGTTTGTTTGTTTTGACATACCCTGAGTACAACTTCTACATTTTGGAACTAAAAAGTGCAAAAGGAGTTATCTTTTGTATTGTATGATTAATCATACCTCTGCACAGCCTATGAAGAGAGAAGAGTTGGAGCTGAAAATTCTCATTTTACAGATATACATGAGAAGACTATGAGAAGACTATGAGAAGAATCAGAGAGCTGGACTGACTGGTCAAAGGTCACAAAGCTATAGGATGTGGCCAAGAACCCAAGAATTTCTGGTTCCTCTTTCTGTTATACATTTATTTAAAAATATTTATGGAGCCCTGGCTGGGTGGCTCAGTTGGTTGGAGTGTCATTCTGTACCACAAAAGGTTGTGGTTTCCATTCTTGATTGAGGCATATACCTAGGCTGTGGGTTTGATCACCAATCAGAGAACATATAGGAGGTAACTGATTGATGATTCTCTCTCAGATCAGTGTTTCTCTATCTCTATCTTTCTCTCTCCCCCTTTCTCTCTCTAAAATCAATAAACATATCCATGGGTGAGTATTATATACATATATGGAATACTATATTTTATAGTTACATATACACACACATATATAATACACACACACACACACACACACACACACACACACACACAACACAGAGTGGATAAGGCATTAGGGACAGGGGAAGTTCCTGCCTATATTCTATTGGAATCTAGGTAATAGTGAGCATAGAAATGAAGATAAAAGGTCATGGGATTTGAACTTGAGCGGACACATGCTTACCCCTGACCCCTGCTTCACAACCACCTGGCTCACTTCAGCTTTCTGACCCTTGGTTTCTAAATATGTAAAAGGAAGATTATAATCCCCGCTACATAGAAGTGCTCTAAAGATTTCTACAGGGCTCTTTACAGAGATGGGTTAGTTTCAGCAGAACTCTTGGAAAAGAAGATAAATGGTCCAAATCACTCCATTTCTAGCAGAAGACTACAGAATCTTCCAAGAGAAATAATTTTTTTGTTTTAATCTCAGGATTATAGCAAATTTGACTGGTAAGTAAGAGATTTTTTCCCTCCCACAGGACTAGAACTGCTTGTTAATTAAGTTTGCTTGGCTGTCTGGTCATCTGGCTTCAGCCAGCAGAATCTTGGGGGAGAGAAAAAGAAATGAAACATGTGGATAGCCATGTCACTAGCAGAAGCAAATACCCCAAGTCCTGAGTATAAATTGCTCCTAATTAGGAAATAATTATGCCCCCAAATGGGGCTACATGAATGTAAAGGCATCTCACAAATTGCCGATTAGTTTCATAGCAGCGATGGTATTTAGTGCCACTTCAGTTGATGGAAAATGTATTGGAAATGGCCCATTTTTAACAGCTCCAAAAAGAGAGAGAAAAGGCTTGGAATGAGAAAAGGCTCCAAAGACAGGGAATGAGGCAAAAAAAAGGAAAAATTTATTCTTTTTCTTGGTGAGTGTAGTGTAGCATGAGTTTGGTACATGAAGTTAAAATAGGGACAGTTTTGATTTTATTCTGACCATAATGGAAAGGTACTGAAAGCTTGAGAAAAGGTGAAGAATATATTCTAATTAGCATTTTTAAAAGATTACCCTGGCTTCTTTCTAGAGAATAGATGCACATGAAGGCAAGAGGAAAAGAAGGTGGATGGATTAGAAAGCTACTACAGTAATATAAATAGGAGGTGATGGAATTGGTGACAGTGATAGAAGTGATGAGAAGCAGAGGGATCCTGAATGCATTTTACAGATCACCAAGGCAGAGCTGGCTGTTGGATTGGATCTGAGGGATGAAAGAGGAGCAAAGGATGATGAATAGGTATTTGGCCTGAGTAGCCAAGTCAGTAGCAGTGTCGTTCCCTGAGATAAGGAACCTTGGGGAGGATCAGATTTCTGTATGTGTTGGCAGGTGGTCAAGAGCATTTTTAAATGATTTTAGATTTTGGATGTCTTTAACATTTCTAGGTGGAGATATAAAGTATAGATATGTATATGTGAGTCTAGAGCTTACAAGGGTGGTTAAATCCAAATTTAAAAAATGAGGGGCGGATTGTCAGTGGCATTTAAAGTAAAAGGACTGGGTGAGATATTTAGATTAGATAGAGAGTGAGGTAAACCAAAAACAGATTCCAAAGCACTTCCCCTATCTGCCCGTCCCAGCATGCACCCACTCAACATCTACCACTCTTTCACCCAGCCATCCTTCTACCTATCCACAAATGTTTAGTAAGTGCCCTCATTGTCAGATGCTGGGTGGAGTGCTAGGATTCAAAGGTGAAAAACAGTATGACCCCTTTCTGGAAAAGCTCACATTCTAAGATAGCATACATAAAACATACAGTAAAGCTGCCAAATTATTTGATGGAAGTGTGTACAAGAAGCAAGGTCAGTCAGCTGTTATTTCTGCTTCTGAAACTTCTTACTTCAAGTATATACATTTAATATAGACTATCTTCCTGTCTTTGTTCCTTCCTTCACTTCTTCCTTTCATCACCCAAAGGCCACTCTTAAATTAGGAGTGCATCTTATAATAAAGAGCATTTTGGAATCAAGAAAATGAAATAGGTAGATATTCAGTAGACTTTAAGCAACATGAATGCTTAAAGCTAGGGGAGGGCTTAGAAAGACTGATAAGAGGTTTCTACTGACAATACATTTTGAAGGAGGATTAAGAGTTGACAGGAAGACATGGAGAAGACCAGCAGTCCTGGAGGAGAGAAGAGCTTGAGTGAAGGCATGGGAAAATGAGAGCATTTGGTGTCTTTCTTTGCAGAGGAGCAGAAAGATCTGACACAGCATAAGTACATGGTAGAAAGGGGTATGGAAGAAATTGGAAAACTTTGTGTGTTCATGGGTCATGGAGTCTGGGCTTTTCCCATGGGTCATTGCTTTAAGTTAAAGTCTTTAAATAAAGGAGAGGTGGAACAAACACGGTCATATTTTGGTTTTAGAAATGTCAGTTGATTTGGGGATGAGGATTGTCAAATAAAAATTAAGTCTGGCTTTAGGAGGGAGTGACTTTGTTCAGAACAATTACCTCAAGGGGAGAAATACGTGATAGCAATAAGAGAAGAGGACTATTGAGGTAGAGAGAATGCTCTGACCATAAGTTCTGCAAGTGTCTCAAGGGTTAGGCAAAAAGAGTTTTTCTTTTATAGGGAGAAGCAAACAAAGCTAAAAAGAACAGGTGAGATGTGAGATGAACAGGAGCAGCATGATTTCACAAGATCAGAGAATGTGAGGCCAGCCTATTCCTGGGAGGGGTGGTTAAGGAGAGGTTGTGTGCCGATTCAGACTGAAGGTGGGCCAAAGTCAGGAATCCAGGAGGAGAGAAGCTTAACCAGCACTCAGTCAACAAGCATTTTGTTCCCAGTGATGAATGGGAACCACAAATTCAGCCAATCATTTATGCAGCAAAAAAAAAAAGGGAATTTGGTGTGTGTGGGAGGCTTCTATGTCTGGCCTTGGTAAACAAGGGGGCATCTGTGAGTCATAACTAAGTCACATAAAGAAGGGTGGTTCTTTGCAGTATATGCTATGTCTTGGAACACAAAAAAAGAGGGGAGGTTTTTAACAATCACCTTTTTTTCCAGAATCATAATTCACAGGGCTTGGTAAAGTTCAGCATTATCCAGAGTCAAGACTGCAAGTGTGGGAACTGCACAGGAAGATGAGATCCAGATAAGAGACCATGGCAGAGAATGTCAGTAAAATCCTGAAGCTAAACCATGGATTCTTCCCAATTCCATACCCCTATATACCCCTTATATCCCTTTATACCCCTTAAGTGCAGAAAGGGGAGAAATCAAGTTATTTCCACTTGTAATAATAAGTCTGCCTGACTCATCAGTGATGCCCACTGCTGCAGCAAAGAGGACAACAAAGACCACAACACTGTTTCTTATTTTCATATCAATTGGCAGAAATTATCTTTATTAGAAAAATGAAATTTTCCTGTATTTACATTTTTACACCATAGGACTGGGCACTTTCATTGTCTTGGGAGTTATATACAGATCAGTTTGCACACACATTTCAAACCCCATTCCTTAAAACAGTTGATAACATGTTGAACAAAAATAAAAGACATACTACAAGAAGACAACCATAGTATATACTTCCTCTATCGTAGAAAGGTGTTAAGCAAACATGTAATTTAGTAGCTATTCTTGGAAATATTTGATACAGTTAGTAGCACTTCCTCATGCAATGGATTAAAATATGACAGATATAAGCTGCTGTGATTGGTACATGAACATCTATTCCCAAATGGAAACCATTGAGTAGAGCACACAGCTTGCTTTGGGCTCCACCATACAAGAGATCAAGCCAGTTCTGATGTGGGTTTTGAATTGTGTTTGAATGTAGCTGTGAATGGAAACCCTTTATATAAAGCTCAATCCCATCCATTTTGGGTTAAAATAGACTCAGACATGGACCATTAAAGCTGTGTCATTCAATTTCTCTCTTGTGGGTAATGGCAAGTTGGTGTCTTATGCAATAAATCTAACATGAGTGAAAGATCAATAGTTTACTCTCCTTTTCTGTCTAAGAGGGCCATTAATTATGATTTTAATAATCTACTTCTTATTCTAGCCACCAAATAAATTCACCAAATTCTTTCTGAATATTCAGCTTGAAATATATATACTATACACAAACACATATGCACAGACATTCCATTATGATAAACAACGTTGAAATAACCTGACTAAATAATTTGGCAAGTATATGCTTTTAGCTATGTTTTAGCAGGGGGATGAACAAGATTAAGACTCACAGTTAAAAACAACTGATGAAGAAATCTTTGGGGACTCTCAGGCTTGGAAGCTGTCTAAGCCAATTCTGTTCATGTAATTAGTTATATTTAGGAGTTTACTGAATTTTCTATGAAAATGTTATTCTTTATCTTACCTCTTATTTGAAAAAAAAAGGCAATTGACATCCTTTACCACTGAAAAATATGGGAAACATGAACGTCACAAGTGCCATGTTCATCTTCCCCAAACTCATCAGAATCTGACCCCAAATAGTTGTTGAATCTTTAATTTCTAAGTTGGAACATTTCCTTAGTGGTCATGGCCCCAGAGATATGAACTTAATACATTTAAAATTTTTTAAAAAATAAAACAGGGTTAAAAATTCAATAGTGTTCATTTATTTGAATTAGCTTAACTGAAAATAGGAATAATTCAGCAAGTCTTAGGTGACTAATGTAAAAATCTTAATTGAATTAAAAAAGCTATAACTGTTTTCCATGGAAAAACCAACCATGTTTTTACATATCTGGACCTTCACTATTTGTTCAGCTATCAATGGTCTTTGATTTGAGCCCTTTAAAGCTTAAAACAGCAAAATGTCAGATCGATGAGGAGTATTTAAAATGCCAAAGACAAACTTATGTTGCTGGAGAACAATTAACCTTATTAATTTAAAAGGCAGCTGTGGTATTGGCTACATGTTATGTTAATATCCTTTTGAAGGCTCATCTTAAATCCTTCCCAAAGGGGTAAGAGAGAATTAAGAGGAAGAGGTTATGACCCAGGGCTATGGCTAATGAGGAATGTTCTAGAACTGCAAAAACGCAAACTCATTTTTTCATGGATATGGTCCATAAGAGGGATTTATCAGTGATGATCTCAGTTTTGTCTTGTTTGTTTCTGCACACTGCTGACATCTTACTTGAGGAAGTTAAAATGAGAAATGGCTCCATTTTAAACAATTTGGTTTCTTCTCCCTGGAGAGTTGTGTGCTTTGAAATATGGCCCCAGTGAAGAAATACCACTGGCCAAATTGTTCTTTTGAGTGTTCCAGTTTCTGCACAGCTCAACATCCCTGGAAGAATGTGGTCATGCACTGTGGACCCAACAACTGGGTCTCCAAGTAGCTGTTAAATAATAATAACCTCTTTGCCCTTAGAAACTTTTTACCACCAGCTCAAAACAGCTAGAGAATTTCTCAGGGATGAGGACATTAGGACAACTGACTGATTCACAGAACCTTCTAGAAAAACATTCCTCAGATTCCAGATCAGTGTCCTCATCTATAAAATGGACTTAATGGGCTCCCACTCACAGTAAATATAAAGTGCCAGGAGAGAGCAGTGTGGCTTACAATACGGGAGGGCAAGAAGAAAAGAATGCGTGGGCTCAGTGTCATTGTCCACACAATGGATTAAGTGCTACGCCATTCTGAAATCCTAGAATAACTAATGGAAACATTCCAGTTCAACACTCTTTAAAGAGACAAACTGAACAAGCATTCACTAATTCAATAGTTATCTTAATGTCAGTGACCAGGAAAGTAACTCTAAGATGATTAAAAAAAAAAAAGACTGAGAAGGAAAAACAATTCTACTAGCTGGCCCTCAGTCATTCTGACCACCAAAGCTCTTGGTCATTTATGCAAAAGTCTATTTCCTGTCATACTTCAAACCTTATTCTGTCTGCTTGGCAAAAATAACCAAAAATATAGATGAAATAGAAGGGACAGTCACTTGCAAGTAACATGACCTTTTTGAAAATGGGCCAAATGTTTTGTTAGGAGAGCTTTAATGAGGGGGCTACAAGGCTGTGTGTGTGTACATGCATAAGTGTGTGTGTCCACACACGTAGAAACATACTATTTGCATATATTTAATGGAATTAGCCCTGATGTCTGCTGAGAAAAAAAGGAAGGGAATATTTAAGATTAGGCACATGCTAAGTAGAGAAAATAACTCTCTGGGAACCAGAAAAGTAAATGCTGAGTGCAAGCATACAGGGGAGAGACACAAATAGCATTCACATCTCAGAAGCAACTGAGAACAAAGTTAAGTTACCCAGGAGTTCTCAATGCACCCCAAACCAGACTATGAGGGGAGGACACTGACTAACTTCCTCACAACAGAGGCTGAAACTCAAGAGAGAGCCACGGGGACTTCTAAACAGCATATCTCTCTTTCTGACTTCTATTCTGACCTCTATGAAGGAGATCAGGCACTTTAAGAATATATGCCTAACATTAGGGATTTACTAGCAAATTTTTATTGATGAGGCTGAGATGGACTTGAGCCCCGGTTTCGTTATCTGTAAAATGGGAGCACTCAGACTTACAGTCTAAGGTTATTTTAAGAATCATACTCTAGGATATGCCTAGAATATTGTCTATACTCAACACAGATATATTTTAATACTTCTAAGTTTAACTTCTGACCCAAGGCATATACTTGGGATAAGCAAAAAATCTAATATTCCAGTAATGTAAGAATAGGATGGACAGAGAAAAATAAGCTCACTCCCCACCCACCATTTTCCTGAAATTTCCCTGCCCCATTTTCTCTCCAGGGCACCTGATGTGTTCTTTTTTACCAGCCACAACAGTAGGCACTTGGGACTCAACAAGGAATTTTCCCTGCTCCCTTCCCTGATACATTTATAACCTGAACTATCAAAAGTATTCTTCACAAGTCAAAAACAAAACCAAACAAAAAGGTTTTCAGGAAACAGTCTTTTTACATCATTGTCTATTTTTTAAACTTTTGAGGATTTTTTCCAACCTCTCCTTAAAGCACATATAAAGTAGAGAGGGAAGGAGGCAAAGGCTGGAGAACTGAGTGGAATCAGATCTGAGCCTGTATGTGCAAAATACGGAAGGGCAAGTTTAGTCACCTGTTTAGACATTCCTAGGCTTCCTAAATACCAACTTTGAAGGTTCAAGTAACCAAGGGCATCCCCAGGAGCACCAATTATATTCTCTAAAGTTACTGACAGATCTAGGGGAGGGTGTTTTGTTTCTTTGATCGTGGAATCAGATAGATTTTTATTTTCTGGCAAAAACATTATTCATCATTTCTAATTTCTACATTTACTCTGTTTGCATTTCCTGGGTCCTTGGTTATCTTTTGTATTAAAGAACTTAATGCCTAGACCATAAGCTACCATGGCAAGAGACTATATTTTCTATTCCCTTTGCAACCCCCCAATCCCAAATTGGCCTTAAAAGGAGAGTGGATATTCAGTCGATTGCTATCAGCTGATCAGTGTCCTTTACTCATCCTTAGCTTATGAGGAAGAGAACTCTATCATCTCAATGATCACTGCCAGCTTACATCTTTGGTTTGAGGTTTTAAACTATAGCTTTCATTGACTCCTCCCAGGAAACAGGTTCTTGAAAAAAAGTTTTCTCTTTTCCAGGACTCTGAGGCAGGGAGTGCTGGGGATCTCAAAGGAAAACCAAAACTCAAAGAGGGATGCTTGGGTCTGTGGAAGGCAAGAGGCAAAGAAAGATGGGTCAATTCTATGAGGTTCTCTGGCTTTTATCACAGAGGGACTCAAGAGAGCCCTCAAGAGAAACATATAAATGAGTCAGCATGGTAAAGGGAACCAAGCTGGGAACTGGGCCATGAAGTCTTAGGTTCTAGACCTGGCTCTGATACTGTCAACCTGAAGACCATATAGATTACTGACTCCTTGGGAACTTCATTTCCTCTTAGTGTTCCCATCTTTCACCCCTTCCCCTACATCTTGGTGTATTTCTTTAAGTTATATTTTTCTAAGGCCCTCCTGGGCAGGCACCTTTGATACTCTAGTGAGAGTACTTCTGGCCACAGAAAGAGTGAGGGTGGGGGAAGAGGATAAGGAATTTAATAGGAAACATGCCCTTTGATTGGTTTACAGAAATTATACACATGTCCATTACCAGTGTTGTCTTCAGAAGCAAATGTGAGCAGAATATATTCCATACTCCTAACTCCAGACACATTTTTAAAGAAGGGGTCAAGAACACCAACACCCAAATCCCACTGGGCTCTGTCACCCTCCCTAGAACTGAGATTTTTAAAAAAATAGTGCCCTCTCTACATAAATATCATCCCATCAGTAACCAGAATGGGTTTTCCATGTGTTAATACCATTATCACCATTCAACTTTTAACATAAACTTTACATTATGTACAATTTTATTTGTATAATACACTTATGTGTGAATTGTAGAAATCAAGCATGTATAGTATATACATGTGTACACAAGCATTTGTATTCACAGGATAAGTGCATTTGATTATCTCCGATCTCTATCCAGTGGCAAGCTGACCTCATGTGATACAATTAGATATGAACACAGTACAATGGAAAGGGATAAAATGGGAGAGGACAACAGCATATTGGAAGAACTTTTCAAGTAGAGGCCCCACTTTACCTCTCATTAAGCACTTTCAACCCTGTTGACCAAAAGAAGATGGGGGTATCCAGCAATGTCTCATTTTGTCTCAAGTGAAAATAAACAATGCTTTTAGAATGGAAATTACCTTTATAGAGAACCTTTAACCCATATTAAATATCAACCAATAAGTTTAGCTTCCACCTACTTAGTTTCATTTTGCATTTTTACCTTGAAGTCCAATTATGTGTATTATAGCCATGGTTAATACAAAAACAGGATCCATTGCAGAGACAGCTCATGTCCTCTCTTCAAGGATTCACGCACAAGAGCAATGCACAAAGAAACAGTACAGGAATGTACATCAAGTTAACGAGTAATTCAGCTCTTCTGAAAGATATTTAGGTTTCTCAAATGAATATTTATTTAGGTCTCAAACTGCAAGGGATTTCTGTGTAACGTATTTATTTATATGACAACTGATTATTAAAGCTGCACTTTTAAGGTTTAAAGGAGATAAATTTTTAATCACCATTTAATTAACACCAACTTTTTTCCCTTTTTCATTAGCAATTCTATTTGCAAAGAATTCAGGGCATTTGTCATTTCCTGAGAAGGAAGCAGAATATTAAATACACATCAGCACTAGACATATCAAATAGAATAAACAATGTGTGCCTGCCATGGATCTTTTGACTAATTAACTGCCTTGGCTAGAGTCCCATTTAAATGAAACTATTTCATTTGTAAACAAGGTGTAATTTTCTTTTTTTCCCCCCTGAAAATAAGCATGAATTGATTTGACTCATTTTGCTGCAATGGGTGAATTTTAATGCTTTCATCAGAAAAGCTAAGTATGAACACTGCTCAGGCTCCCTGTGAAACAGGGAAGAGAAAACAAAGTACACTCCATGAGACACCTGGTCATGGTGCTGGCTATAATCATGCAGTGAGATTTGCAAAGGACGGAAGAGTAACATGTGGGGAGATTATAATCTCACACATCTCATGGAAGCCTCACAGGCAGAAAAATAGACTTAACGGGAACATGCCTTCTTAGAGAATTGAAGCCAGCCGTGACCTAAGAACCTGAGTGTGGGGTAATAAGCAAAACTATTTTCCACAAATGCACATTTCCCAGGATAGAATTTATGCCCTAGAAGACTGTCCTCTTAACAGAATATTTTAAGTTGGTTGCATGTACGTACTGTTACACATGGGCAGGAACATGAGCATTTGCATTTAGGTATATTAGTTGGGTCCTTTTCAAAAGGAGAAAATCATATAAAGTTAATGAAACATCATTACGATACCAGCTCTGACTTGAGTCAGGTATAACTCAGGCAGAAAATTGGGTTCAGAGATTCTGGCTCCTTGGCATGAACAAATCTAAGGTCACAGAGCCCTTTGAGATGGATCCATAGTTCAGGGCTTTCTGTTTAATTTTTGTTACCTCCTGTACTGTAGGCGTACTTTACTGTTGGGCAGTGTACTCCTGATATTCTTTTCCCAAAGAACTTACTAGATGTGAATTACCTCTGAAAAGCTCCAAACATCACCTGTCACTTGAAAATTGACCATCTCATCCATGGCCAATTTTCTTATATTCTGGATCATCATTCTGGGTGGGATGATCCAGAATATAAGAAAATGAATCAGTGAATCATTCACTGATTCAACTAAGAATCAGTGAATGAGTATAGGAGGGAAATTAGGTATTTATTATATAGCAATAAATTCTGACTATTTTTTAGAAAAACTTTTGGTATGAAGGAAGTATATTTTTTCAGTACATTACTATTGGTTCTTCTAAAAGTCACACTTTTAGTTTCTTACCCAGAGAAGTATGGAGTTTATAACAGAAATAATGCTGTTATTAGAAGGCCTTTTCAGCCATGGAATCATTCCACATGTAATTTGCACTTTCCCTGGAGATCTCTGTCACATTTGGCAACCCCATGCATTTTGAGGACACTGGAGAAAGACAAAGCCTCTTTGGATTAGTGACATACCACTGCTCTGTATTCTGGGGAGACTTTTTAATTCATGTCATGTTAAGACATGCCAAACTTGTAGGTGAATGAAGGTGATCCTGGCTGAGGGAAGATAGGTCTAGGATGCAATGGAAGGGCAAAGGCAGAATGTTCTAAAAGATGGTAGAGTCAATGATATACCTAAGATTGGAAATTGGGGTGACTATTCAAGATCCTTCAATCTATGCTCCTCCATTATTGGACTTACAAAAGGCAAAGTTGCAGTATCCTGTGTTCAAATACAAAATAAAGAGTTCAAGCATATTTGTTATCCACATCTAGTCAGTCCCTTCTTCCTTTCTATCTCAAAAATCATGGCAAGGCTTCCTCACCCAGCCTTTCTCTGCCTCTCTACTACTGACTGAGATTTACTACAAACAATTTTCATCATTGTGGGAATATTGTAAGTCAGGTGCACTTCCCCAGAGATGGAGCCATTCAATGAATCTTCAAGCTCAAAGAGAATTATTCCTGACACCTGCCCACTCACAGGAAAGCACTACCTACAAAATAGAACTCACCATTAATAAAAGAAACAAGAAAACTTTTCAACATGCCACTCTGTCCCCTTTTCTAAGAACCCAAAGCAAAATGCAGGAGGAAACAACAGTCAGGCTGGTGTGCATTAGTGTAGGGTTTCTGCAGCACGTCACAAAACAGACCGAGGTACTCTGAAAAAACTGATGGCTACTCCTCCCAAATATTTCAGGGATAGTAATATATTTAAAATACAGTAATTATTAGATTAATATATAAAATATTTAATGTTGTTTGTGTTTTTTATAATATTTAATCTTTAAACTAGAAAATTCTGGTCTGATAAAGTATCATAACAATGGTCTTTATTTATTTAGGCACTTGGCATGTGCCAGGCACAGTGCTGAGAGCTCCCCAGGGATCAAGATCCTCTCTCTCCCCCCAAATATGTTAAATGAGTATCATTTCATATCATACATGCACAGGTTTCAGTAGAGTAAAAATGGGATAATGGAGGAGACTAGGAAATGACAAATGTTTTGAGGAATTTTTCATCTGCTTCTGTTGGTGTTAGTGAGACAGGCTCCAACAGAGTGAATATTTCAGAAGAGAGAAATCACTTGTCCCACTGATGTTTATCCATAATTTGGAGGATGCTCAGGGTAGATGTTTGAGTGCCTCTCATGTTTTGAAGGCTTTTGATTTGAGGAGGCTGGGGTGGAAATGAGTGTCCAACTAAATTTCATGACGTTAAGAAACATAAACCTAAAACCACACTAGCCTTCTGCAGACAGATGGCATTGGACTTCTTACAGATCACAGCACACATATGGCTGTTGGTGCGTGCCACCACATTAACAACCCTGGGAACAGCAACACACAGTTAATTAGACACCACCATGGCTGTTCGGCAACTGAATGAGCTACGGTTACTCTAGGAGGAAAGGGGTAACAGATACTATACAACCCTGAGTCATCACCAGAAGGGGTGAAATGCAAACTTACATACACAGGAGTCTTCAAGATAAACTACAATGGCCACTATGTCATAGACAGAAGATCCACACTTAGATATTGAAGTCATACACGTGTTAGTTTACACAGCTCTGAACAAGACCATTAAAGCCAAGGGTGAGAGTGTCTGTGTAACACGCAAATGGATAGCCAAAGATATTCTTGTAGCTCTGTGCCTGAGGGCCCTTTTGGTCTTTTATTCCAGATGTGTCTTAGAAATAGACTATAATGAAGGTAGCATAGTTAGCTTGAAACCCACTGATTTGCTATTCTTTGGGGGAGCCTGGAGTCCTGGGCTTGGGCGTGGGCTGTGATGGAAGGCATGACAGTAAAGCTGAAACGGTTACAAAGCCAAACTTTCTAATCTCTTGCACATATCAATCTCACTGCAATGCAGATTTATTTGGTCTGTATCGGATTTACATGCATACCATATTGCTTATTCTGTACTAGAGAAACCATTAGGCATTTCTGATGAGAAAATCACATGGTGGACTGACTTAATAGAATTTGGAATATAGGAAATCACAACATCACCATTGACATCCAAGGCATCATTACTGCCAACATACCTAGTGGGCATGTCCAGGAGACTTGCCCTTTTATTTATTATTTTTGGTCAAGGACTCGCCTATCTCATATCTACCACTCTCAGCATACACCTCACAATATTCCTTGAGTGGAAGACTATGGCATGTAGCCATGTGCAAAAGAACCAACAAAAAAAAATGCCTTCCTAAATCCTCTTCCTCTTTGCAGGGTACTATTGGACATCCAACATTTTCCCTCCAGAACGCTGGCCATTATATATGTTTCTCTATAGATAAAACATTAAAGGAAGGTTTTAAACGTCAGATTCAATACTAGGCATTTTCTTGTACACACGTCTATTGCTGCAGGAATTCAAAACCCTAGGGGTAGAGTACATATTATTCTTATTTGCAGCATAAGGCATAACATGCTCGGAAATATACACATCGTTGTGGCCTCTACTGTCCCTGGAACAGTACGATGCCGTTGACCTCAAGGATGATCGAAGGTAGCTGTCATTCACTGTCTGGGATGGCAAGGAGTGTTTATAAGGGTCCGAAGGGCATCTCCCAATGACTAAGCGTTGGTCATCCCCATAGGGGTGGAGGAAAGGGTTATCAGAGGTGTGGTCTGGCAAGAGAGACTTGCTCCGCTTGCTGTCCTCCAGACCTTGAGGGAAGAGGGAGCTTTTGTTCCCCAAGAGTTTGCTGGAGGGGACACTAACAAGACTCCCATATAGATTTCCCTCCAGAAGACGTTCCCTGTCCTTGAGGCTTATGCTCCGAGAGGGCCTGCTAAGGTCCATCTCCCTAGGTTTGTCAAGGATGTTATCGTAGGAATGCTGACGGCTAATTCTTAGCTTGTTCTTTTGGAACTGGAAGGTGTTGTTTTGTGCCCAGTCCTGTCGGTAGGCCTCTTCCTGGGTGGCTGGATTACCTGTCTCCTGAAGCATCTGGTCTTCATCGATGTCATAGAGATTCCCCATCCGTAGGCAGGCATCGCACTTGAAGGGAGACCTCAGGGTGAAATGGCCTGAGTAGGTGGGCAGGTTAGAAAGGCAGCTCCTGCAGTGTGTGGAGTTCTGCCGGTAACGGTCACTGCCCTCGCTGAGAGGGGAACTCTTGTCTTTCAAGGTGAAGTGCTTGGAGTAGAGTTTATACTGGTCATTGTTGGGAGGCCCCTCTTCATTGTGCAGAGGGTTCCTGTTCATGGGTAGTGTGGAGTCCCCCTTGCGGAAATTCTCATTGTGGTCCTGGTAGGCATCTGGGAAGTCCACATTCTCAGGAAGGGCCATGTTTTCAACAAACTGGGGGGGATCTAGGTGGAAACTTGGCTCCTTCTCACCATCAATGGTATAGATCTTGTCCCTGGGGGAGCTTGTTTTTGTCTTCAAGTAGGACCTCTCAGCCTCACTGCAATCCTTGGGGTACTTGGAGGCCACTGACATTTTGAAGTTGTCCTTGGTCTTGTGATTCTTACTGATGTCAGGTTCCCTGTGGCATGTGGCCCGACTTGAAGTTTCTGAAATGTCTGAGTGGGCCACCTCTTCTGGAAGGTACCTAGGACTTTTTAGGGAGTGGGTCCTATTCTCCACTGTTCCTTCATTTCTCTGGGAGACTGGGTTCTGGGTCACTGAATCTTGGCGTAGAGATTCCACGGATTTCTTCCAAAGCTGCCTGGGCCTGGAATTCCCTTTGGGTTCTGTGCTCACAGCCACCTCCACTGTGTTAGGGTTGGACTCGTTGAGAGTCAGAGGGTGCTGACCCTGGAACACATAGTTATTGAGGTTATCCTTGTGTCTGTTGGCCACAAATGTTTGAAGTTCATTCATGTTGTCCCCAAATATGCTGTCTTTTCCCTGAAAGGACCTGTTGTCTGAATATATCAAATTTCCCTTGTCTGAAACCATGTCCATGATGAGGGAACCTCTTTGGATGAGGTCAGCAGCTCTTTTGGGAGAATCCATTCTTGAGGAGTTCATGTTGGACATGTTGGAGATGTCTTTGGCTGACCGAAAGAGTTTTAACATGTTGCTCTGTGACCCGCTCAGATTGAAGTCTGGTGACTTCTTTTTTTCTTCAATGTGCACCCCGTGAATACAGCTGTAAATGCCCTGTGGGAAGTGACATAGCACAACATCAGCAGCAGCAACAAAGAAATCACTCCTCACCTGAACTCAACCTGAAAGGTCAGATATGGCCTTCTTGTAGGAGTCCTGGAGAAATACTTAAATTCAGTTTGAGGCCTGATAATGTTTCTTAAATGGATGAGACCAGTGACAAGGCATCATGCTAATCTTGTCTCTGTGGCTCAAGATTATTGGACACTTTTGCAAATACATGAAGTCTGAGAAGAGGTATCCATGAATGCTCATGATACTCGAGTCAGCTATTGACAAACAAAGTTGGCATTAAAAGGACCACGTATTATTAATTCTTTTGGGAGATTACCCCTACTCACATACTGAAGCTATCAATCAAATCATGAGACCCATGCAGGTCAGTCAGAAAAATCCTTTCTGATTAAGGGTAGGCATGAAATACATAAGTGATCAATTAGATTTTTTTTTTTTGAGGAATAAACAGATGCTGGGATAGAAGAAGCAGTTTCAGGAGACCAGTATTTCCACCATGTAGGGACATTATCCTGAGAGTGAAGCCATCATAGAAAAAGGTAGAACCCAGGGGATAGAGAGACATGACATGTTGAAACTCTGGGGCCAGTCTCTTGAACTTTGTTCTTACCCCACTCCATATATCCTTTGTATGTTAGTTTGTGTGTGAACTTGTTCAACATGGAGTTGGGTTTTGATTACTAGGGATGGAGGAGAGTCCTGATGACATAGTGCATAGCATTTAAATCCATCTACGGACTGAGTGACTTACAAACTCCTGGGTAGCTCAAATATAGGCATGTCTGTCTATATGTCTCTTGTTTTCCACTACACTTTCTTCCATATTTAAAACATAGCTGTTTATTTCTGAATAGTAACTCAAGGGAAGAACTCTTGATTCATGCTAAATAGTAGGTAAGAAGGAATCAGTGACATTGTGATTTTTGCCCCCTCCCCCTCCACTCCTGCTTCCCGAGTTTGGCAGCCATACCTAAAAGGAACAATCAGATCACGCCTGAAGGATTTGATCTGCTCCTCCCAAGAATGATGGGAAGCCAGCCCAAGAAAGAGTTTGTAAAAGTGAATGCAGCAGCTGCTGCTGACTTTGGCATAAACTTGTGGAAAGTATATGTGATTAACTGTGGTCTTTGATAATAGTGGCTCCATCAGTTACCCATGGTGAGGAAGAGTTTAACCCGCAGAGATGCTCAAAGAACTGCAACAGCCTCAACCCTGCTGTATTTTTCTTATAGTTTCCTAGAGAGAGTCTCCACTTTGGCCTTAAATGAGAGGTTAGCATGAAGACTCAACATGCTGATCCAGACAATTTGCTCTGCTCCTGCCAAGGGCCCTTGACCTCTCAGAACATTCTCCGTGGGGTGTGGCTTGACTGTCCTTGGGACCTGGGCCTGGTACCTAAGGTGTCTGCTATGTACTCAAATGTTTGTGCTCTCCTCTCAAATTCATACACTGAAATCTTAACCCCCAATATGGTGGAATTAGGAGATTAAGCTTGAGAGGTACTTAGGTCATGAGAATGGAGCCCTCATAAATGGGCTTAGCGCAGTCATAAAACAGACCCCAGAAATCTCTCCCAGCCCTTCTGCCATGTGAGGACACTGATGTCTGTGACCCAAAGACTAAGTCTGGTTCTTTGCTATAGCAGCACAAGTGGACTAAGACAGTGTCTGTGCCTCCTCTATTGGTCCCAGCTGTGCGCTAGCCAGAAGCTTCTTGTTTCCTGCTCCCCTCATCTGAGCTCCTTGGGAAGGTGTCACAGTTCCATCTCTCTGATCCTTGTCTTTGCTCTGTCACCCATTCCTCATATCTCAGGGGACACTGAGGCTATTCTTTTTTACGGTGACAGGGAATGTATTTTTCTACATGAAAGGGAAAGCAGTTTACAGAGACAACAACAGTTAAAGGCATCCCATAGACAAGAGGTACGGTCTTGTAAGTCGTTGAAGACAAAGGCCACAGATGTGGGAGAAGCTTGGTTCTAATGTTAAATGGCTTCTCTGAGCTCTGGCCTGCTCTCTGGGCAGTGCCAGAAGTACATGTGTCTCCAGTTGTTTTTGTTCAAATTTTCCAGGACTTCCCAAGGGAAGACAATCCCACAAGGAAGGCTGTGTGTATGTGCTGTATGGCAACAACTTTACATGTATTGTCTGTCTGGGCAGTGTGCTTTAGTTTGGAGAACTAGTAATGAAGAGACCTGGCTTACGTGCAGAAAAGCCTCCTTGGGGTAGAAGTAGAAGTCAATTTCAGAGCATCCTAGATGAATGTCTCTTAGAGAGGAGTGTAAACTCTGAAACTGACAAAAATATGCCACCCAACCCTGCATACACAGACAGGTCTCCTCTTTCATATCGTTTTTTTCTGGATGAGAAATGAAGTGAGAAGACCCTTGTTGTTTCAAGGAAACATAAAGTGGACCCTGAAGAGTCCCATTCTAACCTGTTGGGTCTCACTTTCTCCACACATAAGATGGGTGTGATCAAATCAACCTCACAGGGTATTGTGAGGATTAGAGATAATGGCCCAATGTCTTGTTTCACGCTAGGCATAATTCATTGTGTCATTGTGATCTTGCATTTGTAGAAAAGTAGGTTCTTTGCTTGAGAATTCACCACTGCATTTTTTTTTGTTTTTGGTTTTGAAAAAATGATTGCGTGTACACAATGAAGACACTTTTGTTTTGGTGTGTGTTCTCTGAACTGTGAGTAAGCATATATGTAGGGTGGCATATGTGTGACTAAGCACATAGGAAAAGCTTTAAAGGTGTGTGCTGGTCCTTGACTAGAAAGGAAGAACATTGTTTTTGCAACCTAGAAGACCTTCTATGCACAGCATCAGGACCTAAGCCCATTCTGGGTTTCCCTAATAAATGAAAGACATATTTATTAGGGGAACTCAGAATGAGAAAAGTACATCATGTTTGAGATCTTTTTATTCACACATATCAGGCTGTGCCTATTTTAAAAGATAATTTATCTGAGGAGAAGGAGGGTCAGTGCTCAAGCAAGGTTCCCTGCAACCTTCGAAGGTAGGAGTGGTGGTGGCTAGGAGTTTCAAGGGGATACAGAAGTCCCTTCAGTGCTCCTATGGGATGAGGGTCCTCCCTGCCTTAGGGAAGGGAGGCTGAAGTTCAAATCCAGCCTGTCAAGCTGCAAACACAACAATGGCTGCTCCTGTGTGCTCAGTCTCCCCTCCACTCCCATTCTTCAAGATGCTTGTTATCAACTTGGCTTCCTTAATGGTATCTCAAACCAAAGAAACTGCTCTTCCAAATGTAAGCAGGATTTATAAGTAAATGCAACAGGGTGCATTTGCTCATGATAATCCCAGAATCCTTCAGATATGGAAAGCCTTTAGTAATTAGCAGAGAGAATTAGCTTAAAGTTGGCATACCTAGTTGTATGCATGCATGTTGTTATTTTTGAGCAATCTGTGTGTTTAGATGCTATCAAGCTAACTAATAAATATGTACTTGCACAGAATTTAAGTTTACAGAGCCACTGAACAGAGAATATAAATCTTCTTCAATAAGCTAATGTGTACTTTCTGAATCTCCAAAGTTCTTAAAATTACCAAATGCTTAGACTACATAAATTGTTTTTAAAACAATTATTTAGTTTTCTCAGTAAACCTTACCATATAAAATTAGATGTTTTTAACCAAATATTTTTCATCACGTTTCAAGTTCTAACTCATTAAACTCCTTCAGAGTGAAAAAAATCCAAGGTCAGTAAATGGAAGAAAAGGAAGATAAATAGATTAAATAGATGGATGGATAGATGGACAGATGACTGGACAAATGGACATATAAATGAATAGATGGGTGAATGGATAGATGAATGAATGAATGGATGGATGATTAATAGATTACCAAATAGATAATGTTATACTATGTTGGAAGATGAGTAAACAATATGTATGTATTTATTTTTATTATGATTTAAGTAACTAGATTGTGTTGAATATGTAAATATATTATGTGAGTTGAATGTATGTATATATTGTATAGTATGATTTGTATCAAGTCTCTTGTGTTGCTTGTGTTTGATACTTGTTGCTTGTGTGACAGTGTGGGCTCTAGCTGGTACACCATCTACATTCAAATCTTGGCTCCACCAAGACTCTGTCCTTTGGATAATTGCCCTAGCCTCATAACTCTGAGTTTCCTTATTTGTAATCTGGAGCTAATTACAGTACCTACCTCATAGAGTTGGTGTGCAGGTTAAATGAGTTGGAAAGTATAAAGGCACCATGTAAAGTACCTGGCACTTTTATATGGTGCCTGGCACATATATGTGCTCCACAAATATAAGCATTTTCCATGATTGTTATCATTACTGATGAATTATGTCACATGTACCCTTTTATGGCAACACACATGGGCCATACTGTGCAGCATAGCATAAAAGGAGCTTTTCTTGAATTGTATGTGAACTCACTACAGTATGTGTACTCTGTGGTATAGTTTGTATTGGGTTGAATGTGTATTTTGTTTTGTTTGAAGTGTGTACATTTTCTCATGTTTTTTCAGGTCTGTGTTTCATTTCAGGCTCTGTTGCATTACACATGCTCTCTGTGTTTTGTTAAGTGTGTATACACATACATGGTGGTAGTGTAGATTACATTTTGTCATGCATGTTTGGTGGGAATGCGTGAACACAGTGTAGCATCCTGCATAGGAATTTTATCAACATGGTTAGCATGTCTGGGTGCTAATGATGGAGGCTACAGACTGGTTTGTTTGGCCCACATGATGTTTTGGGGGATTTTTTGTTGGTTTTTTAATGTAATTAGTTACTAATATTTAAAAATTGAAAGGTTTCATATAAAATCAGATGACTACTTTCTCTTTTACAAATAAGGAATCCTGATAACATTGGCTCTGCATTCAATCCTCTATTGAGGATGACTGCCCCCTTTAGATGTGGTAAAGCATTATGCAATTTGTCATGGTTCCTGGTATTCTCCATGGTTCCCTTACAGTGATGCCCAGCTTCAGAACGTTTTTTCATGCCATTGGTGCTATCTTTCTCATGCCCAGCCTGCTTCGTCCATTCACCTTTCCTCTCTGGTTTCCACAGTTATCTGAGTTTGCACCCTGGTTTATAAATACGCAAGGTTGGTGAGTGAGGGGAAGATATACAGAACCCCACCCCCACAGCAAAGAGTCAAAACTCCCTGATTATCTGGAAGCCTGATGCTTTCCTGGACCTGCTATTGCAAAAGGAAGTAACTGCTAGGGGTACTGACCCGGCTGATGGAGAAGAGCAGTCCTGGCCGGTCTGAGCAAACACCCGTGAAGCAGAAGCGCAGCTTCCAGTAGAAGAGGTGTTCCCAGATGAAGGTGATGAGGCTGAGGGCCATGGCAGCCGCCAGCATGTAGAACACGCCCGCCATGTTGTCAATGTCCAGCTGACTGCTCATCACCTCGTTCTTCTCATTGTGGCAGATCCCCGTGAGCCACAGTGTCTCCAGCTCCTCCATCTCACCTGAGCAGAAGACAAGATCCACAGGCAGTGAGGGGGCAGGGCATGCACTTCGGGGCAAGCACCTTTGGGTTTGGGACAAATATGTGTGACTTACGGCTGTGTAACCTTAAGGCAAGTTACTGAGCTCTCCTGGTTTATGTGCCCACGCACTTGTTGAGTGAAGATACTAATAATAATAATACCTACCTAATATCGTTTTGGGAGGATAAAGTGAGATAGCGTTAGAGAATTTGGCATGGTCCCTTTTGTTGCTTTTTGGGTTTTTTTCTTTTTCCTTTTTTTGGTGATTATCGTTATGTCCTGCCCACCCTGTTTTTCTCTGTCTCTACCTCGAACACACCCAATCCTGGAATAGGACAAGGGATAAACTGGCAGTCTGCTACAGCGAAGAGACCTGCAGTCTAGTTATGAATTCATCACTTACTAGCTATGTGACTTCAGAGCCACAGTCATCTTGCCTGCGAAATGGATATAATAATGCAGCATATTTCCTACATTGTGGTGAGGATCAAAGGTGTTCACATATGCAAAATTACTAAATGTAGTGCCTGGATCACAGGAACTTCTCATAAGTTGTAGCCTTCACAGGACTTTTGTGAAGTAAATGCCCAGCGCAGTGCCTGACACATAGCCATCCTCAAATATATGAGTTTCTTTTTTCCTTTTTCTTTAAAAGAGTATGCAGAATTATTCCAAAAACTTACCCACAAACTGCATTTTGGACACAAAGCATTCATTGAAAAGAAACATCTCAACTGGCTCTCAAAGGCCCCTTGCAAACGAAACACCTCCACACTTCAGTAAGAAATTAAAGTAGGTGGGGTTTTCAAAGGGAAAAAAGTAGTACATGTGCTTACATTATTTTGTCCCTCTTTTATGTGCATTTTAGTTAGTTGCCATTTACGTGAAAATTCTCTGATCTAAATGTCTAGAGATTATACTAACTGTCTAGCAATTCACCAAATGATGGCACTTAGACTATGATTCAGCCTTTACAAACTGTCCTCCAAGGACAGTGAAAATCAAGGAAGAGGCACATAATATACTGTACTTTTCTGTGTATAATGCGTGCCCATGGTTTTGGCCCAAACTTTCAGGAAAAAAAACTTTTGTTTTAATTTTTTAATTCAATTTTTCATCTATTTATTTTTAAAAACAAAACTGATTATCATTTTTTGCATATGGAAATTGTTATTGCTTTCTAGAGATACACTTTTAACACATAAGCATAAATAAAATAATTAAAGTCATTTATATAGATATGGAATTAGTACTGCCCATGTTTAATGCACATCCTTATTTTTCCTTCAAAAATTTGGACAAAACAGTGCACATTAGGCACAGCAAAAATACGATAAGTGGAAGGTAGGACTTTGTGTGTGTGTGTGTGTGTGTGTGTGTATGTGTGTATAATCTCTAAGATACAGGAGGCATGCAGAGAAAAATAAACACTCCACATGTTTACTTGATCTCTTCTGCAGAGGTTAATATAATGATTGTTTTCACATTGCTTTCTTTTTAAGTTTTATGGAATAAATGTGCATTGCTTTTGGTTTGTTTTCACTCTTGACTGACTTGGTAGATCATAAAAACCTAAGTTGACAATTATTTTATCTTGACCTTTTGAAGATGTTATGAGTTTTCTTCTTATCTCCACTGAAGCTGTTATGAGAAGTTGGATCATAATCTAATTGTCATTGTTTGCTATGCAATTTCTATTTTCTCTCTACTTGTGTTTGAGAGTTTCATTTTGTCTTTGGTGTGGAATCTAGGTGTGGATTTATTTGTTCTGCTCTGGGCTCTGTGATTCTTCTATCTGGTGAGTTATAACTTCAATTCTGGAAAAATCTCACCCACTGTCCTTTTGTGTTTTAATTCTCTCCATTCTATCTTTTAAAAAATTAATAGACCTTATTTTTACAGCAGTTTTAGATATAACGAAACACTGAGCAGAAAGTAAAAACAGTTTCCATGTACTCCCTGTGCCCATGCCCCTCAGTTTCCTCTACTAACATCTGACATTGGTGTGGTAAGTTTTTTACAATTTATGAACCAATATTGATACATTACTATTAACTAAAGCCTATAGTTTAGTTTACATTAGGGTTCACTCTTTGTGCTGTAGTCCTGTGGGTTTTGTTGAATACATAGTGTCACATAAGTACCATTACAGCATAATAGAGGATATTTTCAGTGCCCTAAAAATCCTGTGTTCCAGCTATTCATCCCTCCCTACCCTCCATTCCAACCCTTGTAACCACTGATTTTTTAATTGTCTCTACAGTTTTATCTTTTCCAGAACATCATATGGCTGGAACCATATAGTTCGTAGATAGCCTTTTCATACAGGCTTCTTTCACTTAATAGTATGCACTTAACATTCTTCTGTGTGTTTCAGTGACTTGATAGTTCATTTCTTTTTATTTCCAAATAATATTCCATTGCATAGATGCACAGTTTGTTTGTCCATTCACCTACTGAAGGACATGTTGGTTTCTTCCAAGTTTTACCAATTATGAATAAAATTGCTATAAACATTCATGTGCAGGTTTTTCTGTAAACATAGCTTTTTAACTCATTTGGGCAAATATCCAGGAGCCTATTGCTAGGGTGCATGGTAAGACTATGTTTAGTTTTGTAGGAAACCACCAAACTGTGCTCCAAAGTGGCTGTGCCATTTTGCATTCCCACCAGCAGTAAGTGAGAGTTCCTGTTGCTCCACATCTCCACCAGCATTCATTAATGTTGTCAGTGTTCTGTGTTTCAGCCACTCTAATAAGGGGTGTAGTGCCACCATAATTCTCTAATGACACATGATAACCCTGTCTTTTCTTTTTCCCTTTCTGAAAATGTTATTTAAACTATTCTGAATCTTCTCATTATATCCTCTAGGATATTAACTTTGCTTTAATATTTTATATTCTTTTATCTCTCTGTTATGCAGTTATATGATTCCCACACTTTCCAGTTCATTTACTCTTTCATTAGTAATATTAAACTTTATATTTTAATTTTCATCTATTTTAATTGTGGCATACATCTGGCTCTTTCAAAGTTGTGCCTGTTCCTTTTAGCGTAATGTCCTACTCCTTTGTTATTTTTTAAACTTTTATAGTTAATAATTTCAACCCTACAGTGTTTCAGATTATTCTCTGCTCTGCCTCCCTCCCCACTCACTTAGTTCTTGGGGTTCACAATCTTCTGTTTGTTGTGTGTGCTGACTCTCATGGTGGATTGCTTCCCTGTGATATTAGTAACTTTTGATTAAGAGCTAATCTTCAGCAGACTTATTCTTCCCCTACTCTCCATGGGGCTCCCAGGCATACTGGGGTATAGAAATGTCCCCATGGCGGATTTCAGGGTTTGCTTCCACCATGGTTCCAGGGACTTTCAATGCACCAGTTTCTGTGTGAAAAATTTTTTACTATAATTACTGCACCATTTAAGTAGTTACATTTAGACCTTCATACCCATTTTGTTTTTAATTTCTCACTCAGAACTTCAAACAGATGGCAAGCCTTCTTGTACTTTCTTTGCTTTGACGGACAGTTTTTCTAACCTCCTTTGCACAGATATGTTGACTCACTGAAAGTCTCAGATTCATGCAGTGGATGTTAAAGTCCCAGTCTCCACCCCTACAGCTTGTATCTCCTTAGGCTACTGCACCTCAGCTGAAAACTACCATGAGAATATCCTATCCCCCTCTGTTTCTGGTACCTAAGGATTTTTCTTCTTTTCACCTTACTATGCATTATGTGAGTATGAGTGTGTGAATGTGTGTGAGTGTGTATGCAATTGCTTTTAATCCTGAGTTGTGTGTTTCCTCATGTCAGTTTGATTTTCCATTGTACCACAACCATACGCGTGTGTATAAGTTTTGTAATTAGGGTTTAAACAGCACAAGTATTTATGAAGGAGAAAATAGGAAATGTACATATTTATGAATTCTTCACCCACAATGAAGGGTGCTGGTTAATCAGTGGAGCAGCCAAAGTGATGGGAAGGGATGTCTTGATTTCGAGTCCTTTCTTTCTATCAGCCTCCAGTGCTTTCACACAGTCACAAATGTAATGTTATCTCGTTGTCCCTCTAACACCACCAACAACCTGTCCAAATTCTGCTCTCTCTCTGTGCCTCAAGATTTACAGTATTACTTCTTCTCACAAAAACAATGATGCCATCCCTTCAAAAATACAGTGGCTGCTGACTTTTCCCTTCCCTTTGGCATTTGTGAGGACACAGAAATGGGTCGTTTCACCTTATTTTGTCAAATTCTTAGCACATCTTCCTTTTGGTGTTGTCCCAAAGAGAGCCGAGTTTGTATGTCTGTAATAGGCTCAGTCTGGGGATAAGAAACATCATCTTGATTCCTTTTAGAATGTAAATGTAAAGATTTTTCCTCTGCCCTATGCCGAAATAACACCTCTCTCTCTTTCTGAATAAGTCAACTTGGTAAACCAGACCTGCATTCTGAAAAGAGAACAAAATGCACAATTCTCAATACCATTTACAGTCTGTTCCAATCATTTTCCAGTTAATCATTTCCTGCCTAATAGCCTTCTCCTACTAGTGTACTGAACTGCAGTTCAAATACTTCCTTATTTTGTTTTTAATTTACTCAAGTATATTGTAATCTCCTTGAGGGAGACCAGAGACCATGTTTTATGGTTTTGATATTTCTTGTGGCCTGCAGCATATAGCAAGCACTGAATCCATATTTGCTCTTTCTGTTTCTTTCCTTACATCCCCAGGCTTAAATTGGGCAGCACTACAAAAAATGTGCAGATCTGTTGGGGAAGTGTTTCTGCCATATGAATACAGAAATTACAGAGTAAAAGAGAACTCGCAGTGGACTTGAGAGTAAAATGCTAGGAAGTTCATGTGTCCTCAGCTAGGGTGAAGCAACAAATGCCATTTTTCCAAGGAGCAGCTCTGTGATGTTCATTCCACTGTCTGTTGCTCCATTACAAAGAGGCCGTGATCTCTGTCAAAGTGATGTT